CTAGACCGGCCGGCTGCCCATCGAGGGAGTGGCTGGCTGCCCCCTGGCGGCGCCTTGCGCCCTTCCCGCCCGCGGCACAGAGCCTCCGCCAGGCCCTAGGCCGGGGGCTGCGGGCGCTCAGCCGCGTCCCCCGGGCGGGGCGGGGCTCTCCCCAGCCAGGCACCAGCGGTGCCAAGGGGATGGGCAAGCCCCGCTGCCTCGCCGGGCACCGTGCCGGGAAGGGGCTGCTGGTGTCTGAGGCGCCCGCGCCCCGCAAGGCTGCGACCGGGACAGGTTGCACCTCGCAGACTGACCAGACCGAGCTGACGTTGTTTCCAGGCCTCCGCCTCCTGCTGCCACTGGTGCTCCCAGCAGCCAATCAGGGGCGCGTTGTCATGGGCCAGGCAGCGCTCTCTCCCGCTATTGGCTGGTTTGCAGCTGAGGCTGGACCTTTCGGTGCCTTCCAGGCCGGCGCTGAGGGCTGGGGGTAGGGAAGGGCCAGGCCGGGAGCAGTGGGGTTGCGTCCCCCGAGAGAGGGCTGTGCTCTTCTGCCTTGTGATGGTTTGCTTCATCACCTCAGTGTGTGCGCGCAGAGCGCCAAAGCCCTCCTTTCAGTGGCTGGCTGTGCCTGGCTAGCAAACAGCTGCATGGAAGAAGCCCCACCAAGCCCTGCTTGGTTCAGGTAGGCTTCCTGAACATGCCTCAACAGTGCTGAAGCCAAAGAATGACAATCCAGACAGTAACGATGGCACCTGCTGCTCCCCAAGTCTCTGGAACAGCTGTTGTGCATCAAAAAGGGCCTGGTTATGTGGAGGTGACTTGCAGTTATCTCCTCCCTGCACTGTTTCAAAGAGAAGCAGCTGTCCCACTAAATGAAGGCCTGTTTTCTCTGTAGCTGCTGCCTGTGCAATGGAAACCTTAACAGGAGCCAACATTTCTAGAACAACAGTGCTTGTACATGTCACGATGTACAAGTGACAAAAATTTCCCTCTGTGGCTTAATGACATCACACATAACATACCCAAGTTTTGTGGGTTTTAAACGAGTATGCATCACTGCAAACTAAACTACATTCTGATATAGTTTGGTTTCCCACAATGCAATTTGGAACAATGCAGCCATTAGCCAGCTTGCCCCCAGCTGTGGGAGAGGAGGGCCGGCTCCGCAGAAAAAAGGGATCTGGCTCCTTGTTGCTTTTGCTTTAAAGCAGGCTCCTGCAGCCAGCAGGATGCCTGAGGCCACCTGGGAATTGGCTGGCTTGCCACTGGGGCAGTGAGGGAAGGTGGCAGGAGGGCAACTGGGTTTGCTGGCAGGCGGAGAAGGCGATGGGAATGGTGCACAGGGCACTGGAAGCCCAAGCAAGCTACTAGCTGGCTGGGTGCTCTCCCAACTCAGAGGTGCCCTACCCAACGCTTCCCTGAGCCCACCTGGGTTTCCAGCACCCTGTGACCATCCCCACCACTTTTTCCAGCTGCCAACACGCCCAGCCACTCTCCTACTGCCACTCTGGGCTGCTCCAGGGGTAAGCTGTGTGTGCTGGTGGCTGGGAGAAGGTAGCAGTGAGGGTACACAGGATGCTGGAAGCCTGGGCGGGATCAGGCAAGCATTGAATCAGGCACCTCCAAGCTGGTGCAGCACCTGGCCAACTAGCAGCCTGCCCAGGCTTCCAGCACCCTGTGCACCACCCCCACCACCTTCTCTGGCTTCCAGCAAACCCAGCTGCCCTACTGCCACCTTCCCACACTGCCCCGGGGCAAGCGGGTCCCTTCCCAGCTGTCCTCCCAGCTGCAGGAGCCTGCTTTAAAGCAGAAGGAGCAAGGGGCCTAATCTTTTTTTCTTTGGTGGAGCTTGCCCATCTCTTCTGTGGCTGGGGGGTAAATTGAAAGATTAATGGCATAGGTTAATGGCCTCTTGGCTGTGGGAGAAGTGGGCAGGCTCCTCAGAAAAAAAAGAAAGGATCAGGCCCCTCACTGCTTCTGCCTTCAGCAGGCTACTGTTGCCAGCAGGATAATCATGTATATACAGTGATAGAAATTGAAAGGGTGAGGTTTCAATTTAGGGGCATAGAATGCAACCCAAAGGACTAAACCCCCCTCACATGTACAAGTGCTCCTCAGCTCTATTTTTCTTCTCCCCTGGATCCTCTGGGTTAAAAACTCATCTCTGTGAGCATCTATTTAAAATACCTGACCACTACCTTTGATCCAAACTCCAGAGATGTCTCATTGCATGCAAGCTCATCCGCATTTTTTTTTTGCACATAAGAATTCTTAGTTCTTCAAGAAAAACATGTATTAATGTTTCCTTGTATGCATGGAATGAGTTTGTGGGGAACCACAGGGTAGCCTGGAACAAAGTGTGTCATGTTTTTGATCTAGAGCTAAAACTTTCTTCTTGCAAGGTCCTTGACAGAAGGTTGATTTTGACATCAGGGTTGTGGTTATTTATATCTGTTTCTCTCTACTCCTGAGCATCTGTGTTCTATGTATCTAAATGGACATTTGGTGTCCAACTCCCAGTATTTGAAAAAATATTACAAGAAAAACCTGAAGCATTTCGAAGTATCAACATTCATGTTGTGGTTGAACATAGACTATGTAGGTTGCAAGTGGGCATCATGTTAGCAGGTGTATAAACATAGCAAATGACAGTCCCTCTCCCAGAGCCTAGATGAGATAAATGTGCAGGTTAAGAACAAAGGAGGTAGGGTGACAAAAATAATAGGGTATGCACTATGCTTTGTGAGACAAGAGTAGCAATCACAGCTTGTTACCAGCCTAACCTTTATCAGTCAACAAAAATACAGGCACAACTTGATTTAACAATGTCTTTAGGGCATGTGAAACTTTCATAGAATCAGGATGACTGGGAGTTTTGGCTGTGTAAGATGTTTGAGCTCTGCAGGATTCAAATACAGCACCTGCAGAACCAGTTGGCTGCTGACCGGTCAACAACAACTTTTTCTTCTCCATAGCAAAATATGAATTTATTAGCAAGGTGTGATGAGCGAGGTACACACAGCTTGAAGTACCATATGGATTGGGTGAGAGCGGGTGTATAGCCTTGTATCTCTGGCTTATCAGGATGGTAAATATGGATGATTAACTGAACACCTACATTTTTAGGTGTTCAGCCTCAATGCTTTTAGGCTTTCACATTTAAGGAAACAAGGACCATGTTTTCCAAAGAGCTTAGCACTCAGTACATGACTGGTTGCCTGAGCTGTGTATGTTGGTGCATAAATTGGGGCAGGGCAGTTTCGAAGATTCTGGCTTTAGGATCTATTTCTATGGAACACTTTGAGGTTTGGACTACATATGCCAAAAGCATTGTGTGAGTTGAGGTATCTTTAGTCTTCCTGGGGGAGAAACTGCAGTGTCCTGGTTTGCATGTGCATATGCACAGAACCAGAACAAACTGATGACAAACACAGGCAAGAGCACCTTGTAATGTGTTATATAGAGATATGCCACTAGGAGGCGTACTTTCTCATTCAAAGGAATAACCACAGTGAAAAGATGCTGTGATATAAAGAGGAGGGGGTCAGATATTAGCATCATAGGCAGGTGACCACAAAATGGTTCTTAGGCTAAAAAGGGTGATTGGTAGTTTCCATGAATGTGCAGCCCACATTACAGGCACTATAGGGGGTAAATGGGCATGAGAAGACTTGTAAAACTCCCCCTTGGTCTCCAGGCTGAGAGAAAGCAGGCCTAGGGGCAACATTAAGAATGTTGGATTTTGGTGAATGTTCATTGTGTCATTTTACATTTGGACATTTATAACCTGTGAGGCATTTGAACAGCACCTACTTTCCTTTAGCTCTTAACCTCAATGTTTTTAAATCCATATGTTTGGTTTAATTATAATTTTCCTTTATATAAATATTTTAACTTTGAGATTAAAATACCAGCCTTCAAAGGCACCAATCTGAAAATGTTGCGTTGTAAAAACACCAACTTTAACTTGTTTGACTATTAGTGCATTACATTAATTAAAAATGAGAGAACCTTTTAAAAGCCAATTTCATTTTCATTTCCACACACTGCATTTATCTTAATATGGCATTACCCTGATTAGCTTTAAGACTGAGTTTGATCATTTAATGAATGACATGATAGCACATGGTTGGCTGTGGTACTTGGAGACTGGACTTGATGATTCTGGAGGTCCTCTCAGTGATATGTTCCTGTGTTGTATGTTCTTATTCCCTTTGTTTCATCGGTTTCATCAGTTTCAGATTTGGTTTCCCAGCTTAGACAAGTCCATAATTACTGAAAAAGCCAGTTACAGAAACTGTAACCTAATATTGTCTAGAGTCAGAATGCAGATTTTACATCATCTGTCCATTGCGGGGCAGCACCATCAAGTTAATCTCTAAGCAGCTAATGTCTAGCTCTCACAATAAAGCATTAATCACTACGAGACTTCCCTGTTATGAGCATGGAGATGCAGACTCTGTGCAGCTGTGGTGGGGGGAAGAATCCTTTGCTTGAATTGCCTGATGTGCCCCCAGGAAACCTGCCTGCTGCGTAAGGAGCTGACACCTTTGGAATTAATTCAAGTGTCATCTAGCATTGCTTTCTCATTCATTTCAGTAGTCTCTGTCTCCTTCACCCAAGTCCTAGCCAGGGAGTCATGTACAGAACATGTGTGTGTCTTTGAAAGATACTGTATAAGCACATGTAGTGCTGCCAGCAGCATTGCAATATGCTTGGGCAGCCAGGAAAATGAGGATTAAAGGAAAATCCTCATGCTCCTCAAAAATGGATCCAAGTACAATCTCTGGCTCCACATCGTCTTTTTTGAAACATGCCCACTGACTGGCACAGATGGAGATTGCAAATCCTCTCCAGTTTGCCTTTGCTCATATTTTTTTTGCTTGCTTATTGCTTTTTTCTTCCTTTACTTA